TCAGACCTCACACATGCTCACACAAACTGCTTGCTTGTGTCCACAAACACTCGCGCAGACACACAAACACAGAGGCAATCAGACAAACAGCAATCACCAGGGGAGGTCGGCGGGCCATATGGCAGGGGGGGGTGGGGGGGTAGGGGGCAGAGCGGAGCTGAGGTAGGACCGCCAGGCGCTAATGCACCTTAGCATGATCTGTTCCAGAGCCAGAGTGCACGGGTGGTCAGCGTAAGTGGGTTAAACTCAGTGTTTGCACGATGTGTTAAGCTCCGGGAAAAAAAAAGAGAAAGAAAGAAGGAAAAATGGCACACATGCACAAAAGAACCACAAAGCCAAGGACGTTTGAAGCGGCTCGCTGGGTTCGGCGTGTAATTAAGAAACGCTGATGGTTCTCACATCCCCCAGAGGGATGAGGTCACGCGGGGCGGAACCGCAGGCCCGCTCAATCTCCCGCTCAGTGACAGATGCAGATAAACCGGCGGCGGCTGTGTTTGGAGACCCACCTGCGTCCAGGATTCCCTGGGCCAGGATGGCGCCGAACTTTGCCATGACGTCGTCGTGCTTGTCGTTGATGACTTTGGCGTACAGCTGCCTGAACTGGTTCACCTGAAAGCAGAGGTCAAGTTCGGAGGTTTTAAAAAAAAAAAAAAATAGGGAGAGAGAGAGGGAGAAAAAAACAGTGGAGATAGATAGCTCTCCCCCGAAGCTACAGACTAAGGGACTGGCTTGGGACTACGAATGGCGAGCTAAAGGATGTGCCTGTCTGACGGCTTCCTGCGCAGCCCTGTGTGCCAACCGGAGCTGTGCAGGTGAGGACTCTTTGAAACCAGGTCTGGTATTTCTTAAACGTCTCTGAAGGGTGAGCTGTGCCCGGACTAGCCCCTCTGCAACTCGTCCGTGACCCAGGCCTGTTCTGTTCTGCCTGAACACTTCTGCTGATTTATTTACTTTTTTTGGCTTTCAGTTACCGTCGTCCCCCTTTGCCTTTATCCTCCCAGTTTACTCAGCGAGGGCTCTGGCCTCGGAGGTACTAAGCACCGTTTTCAGAGTCACTGAAGCATGTTGTTATTTTCCAGGTAAGTAAAAGACGCCCAGACAGAAAACAGGACAGCGTTGTTCTGCTGGCTGAGCCTTTAGTCTCCTCAGACTGGGTCACGTTCAGGGGATCTGCTGGCTCTGAAACTCACCTTGGGACAGGTAACTTCTGTCTGCTGGATCATGATAAGCGCAGAGGCTATGAGGGCGCCTTGTCTCACATAATTCACCGGGTCGTTGGTCATGGGCTCCAGCAGATTGATCGCCTCCTGTAAAAGGGGACGAGAGAGGTAGAATAGGGAAGTTGTTGTTCAATTAAATGTTTTTTCCCTTCTGCAGCTTCTGCATTTAGACTTAAAGACAAACTAGAGTAAAAAGAAGAACATAATCCCTCCCCCTCCCCCCACAAAATCTTTAAAGAAACAACCCAGTGAATTTAGAAGAGCTGCGAGTCTCCATTCCGCTGCCAAAAGAGCTACATTTGTTTATCCTTCACACGTATGGGAGAGGAGATGAAACCGTTTAGCTCTTTCTATAGATTTTTCTTCTCCAAATGAACAGATAGCTGCAGCAGTGGCACTTCTGTTAGGCTGAATACAGGAAAGGGGATTATCAACAGAGGCAAACAGACCTCACAAATTAATGTCATTAGTGTCATCCATATCTGCTTGCCCCTGACAATGAAGTCAACAATTACTCTCCCCTGATGGCTACTGTGAAAGGAGGGAGAGTGGGAGGACCCCCAGTGCGTCTTATATATCTGCCCTCTCTTTTGCTCTACAATCAGACCAAAACTGTTGCTTTTATTTCTCTTGAACAATAAAGGCTGTGAGGCACGCCAGCCGGCTCGGAGCGAGGCGTCAGCGCCGCAGAGGAAAGAGAAACAAACCGGGATGATGACAGGGGAGGTAAAATAAACCACGTTTCATCGGCGTTCCAGGCTGAGGGCGGCTGGGCTCTGGGATGATGGGTTAAAGCCCAACGCCAGAGCTGATCTACCACATCCTGCCCATGATCATTTGGAGAAGGGGGGAGGCTCGTTGAAGGCGTTTACTGTCAAACCCGGTCAGCAGAGCAGGTTGGCAGCTTCAAGCTCGCATTAATCCGCGATGGGCCATTTTCCTCAGGTTTCTGCCCCAGTATCCCCCAACATTGCATTTAGAGTGAAAAAAAACACAGACGCACACAAAAAAAACAACAACACAAAGCTTGCGACTTGAAGAAACAAAGAAACAAAAGTGCAGAAAACCTCAAATATCATCAGAATTTTCCATCTAATTTGCAATTTTCCATTTAAAACTCAATAAAAAACTCAAAACTTTAAACATTGTGTGATTGTTCATTTTAATAGCTGATCCACCTCTCCAGACACATCATTACTCTCGCTGATGTCCTCGAGGCCGAATTGTGCCGAAGCCGAGAAGTCAAGCATGGGAGGGGATCTTTTGGGAAATATTCCCTCGGACGCTCAAAGGCTCAGGGTGCACTGAGGCGTGACCATTGCTGTGGCCGTGCCACCTGATCGGCCCGCGTAATTAGACGACTCGGGAACTGGCAGCGCCTCTTGACTTCTTGGCTCCCCCTTTTAGACTCGAGCGAACCCGCACACAAGGACAGAGAACAGCCTGATGACCGGGTGCCAGCTCGGATCATTTTATCGGCTAATCTGCAACGAGCATGGCACATCTGTGCTGACCCTTCATAACAATTACAGCAAACGTCAACAGACGAGAAGCTAGATAAGTCTATCTAATAGTCTATTCTGTTCCATGTTCTAATTACAGACTACAGGGATCAAAAAGGTATAAACAGAGCTTAACTTGGAGCAGGAAATTTAGAGCAAGATCATTCCAACTTTGGCTTCTGCCAGGATTACAGAAGGTGAGTCTGTACCCATAAATCTCTCACGTGAGCCATCAATTAGCTGCTCAGAGCAAAAGCCTTCATTCAGCACAGATAATCTTTGCATCAGTGACGCACAAGATGTGTCAAGAGGAAAAGAAAACGCACAAGATGAATGAGGAAACTGGGACGAGGACGGATTTGTGGTCGAAAGGGCCACAAAAGAAAGATGTGAAAGGCATCGCGAGCATTTTCGCTGCGATTAGCAGGTAAAGGGTTCAGATCGGGGCTTTTAAAGGCTATATTTAAAAGAAGATAAAAGGTGAGGCGGCGCACAATGTCGAACTGGGGCTCGGCCTTTATGCAGCTCGGCCGACGCCCCCCCCACATCCCCCGCCCCAGATCCCTTTTCATCAAAGTTGACCTGGTTTACAAACAGCTGCTGAGCAGTCGAATGAGACTTAAAGGTGACAGTCTGGAAGGAAAGAGAGAGGGGAGCTCACCTTATTGCCCGTCCCTGCGCAGCAGATACCGAGGGCCATGGCGGCCCCGCAGCGCACGTGAGGGTTGTAGCTCTCCGAGAGAAGAGACACCACACTGGGACACTGCTCCGGGGTCCTGGACACACAAAAGAAGAAAACGTGTGTTTGTTTTTTGCTTTTAAGATCAAGTCAAAGATGGATGCAGTTAGGGGCTCAAAGTCTGATTTTCACAAATCAGACTGTGGTTAATACTTATTTAGACCTTAAAAAGGTAATAATTGGATCAATATGGAATATGCCTCAAAGCACATTGACATAAATCACATTAATGTTTGGTTGAACTAATGCACTCGGCTCTGAATGGTGAGCCTTACTGTTATTCCTGATGTGTTATATGGGCAGAATAATAATACTCGGGTCATAAAGGGAACCACTTCAGGAGGTAAAATTATGAGTCTGTGACAGACCCATGACAGAAAAATAAAAATAGGAGTTTGGAGGAGAGATGTGTGGATTTATGTCCAAACTGTCAAAGGTCCATAAGCGTTTTCTCAGTTTTGAAGCAGGATTCACTGAACCGTGTGAGCCAAATCTTTGGCTGGAGATATAACAAGCTAAAGCTTACTTTCTAAACTCCCTTTTTCGTGAGCCTTTGCTTTCCTAAGTAAGACGACAGTAATGGAGGATAATTGATAAGTTATCCTTTTTCCAGACAAAAAAACTAAACAGATTAAACCTCAGTAGACCTAGTTTATTTTTTATAAGCAGTTTATTTCATCTTTACTTGTATAATAACCCTATTCTAACACATAAAATACATAAAATCCCTGTAACTGATGCATTAAATAAAATTTTAATACCTTACTGAAGTCTAATTTATAGTTTTTTTGTGGAGAAAAAAATAATTTTCATATGGATGAATCTAAATCTTTTCCTTCCCCACAAACAAAAACAGAAGTTAAAGAGGAGAGAATAAATCTATGTCCAGTTTTTGTCCGATATGAAAGCGTGAGGAGATGGTGTCTGAAATAGCCATTAAACTTGGAATTTCTGTTGCGTGATGGATGAAGAACTGAGGAAAGAGGACAGGCTGAGAGGAAATTAAACGCACAAAACTTTGGAATAGTTTGACATCCGTCTCGTCAAAAGTCATCCTGACTAATCAACTATTTAATGAGTGTTTGTTTCACATCCCCTGTGACGCCCCTTGAAAAACAGACTGCAAGTAAGCCAGGAGAACGGTAAAATGACAAAACAAAAAAAAAAACATGGAGGCATCTTTCCATGTGCAGATGAAATACGCCCTCAAACTACTTGACAGCAGATCTCATTAGCCAGCTTCCTGTCAGTTACAAACCACTCAAGCAAATACATAATGAAAGCACCTGGGCAGTGTTACCAGACAGGCAAAGAGATGTGCAGCTTGCTTTATTTTCTGACACAATTAAAGTTTAAAAAACATTTTTTTTTTAAAGAATGCATAAATAAATTAAAAAGCAACCATTATCAGATAATACACAGAATAAGAAAAATCTGGACACAGCGCAGATTTATATGGTGAATACTTGTGATGAAGTACAGGGGGGAAAAAAGGTGAAAAATGAGAGAATTCGCTTTTGTGAGGTGCCATAATCCACCAAGTATGAATCCCAGTGAGAAAAACCGCTGAAAAAAAATGCCCAAAATCCTCTTTGGTGCTTAGATTACAAGTTATTTCAATTCAGCATACTGAAAGAGTTAGTTTGTTTCCACAACGTGCAGCAACAAATTGGATCCGTCTTTTAAAAAACAAAAAACAAACAGTGAGCGTGCACAGACAAATTGTCCCAGACATCAAAAGGAGAACACAAACCACTCCGTCAATCTATACAAGCCGGCAGCCGACACCGTCCACTTTAAAACCCGACTGGAGCGGACGCCTTTTGCCTGAAAAAATGTAAGCTCGCCGGGACAAAAAGAAGCGGCTAAGTGGAACAACTACAGCACAAAAGGGTTCTCCCCATAAACCAACACCGCTCCCCAGCCTCTGCCGCTTTCAAAGCGGGGAGAGAACAGAGGGTGACAAACATAAACAGTGGGACGGCTGCGTTGAAGGAAATTACCTCCCTGCACCGCTGGCAGCAGGCCAGCGAGAAGACATTCATCTGTTTTGTATAGAGTCTGACTCACTTGCAAGCCAGAGGGACGGAGGGGAGGGGGGGAGGGAGGGAGGGAGACGGCGAGTGAAACGAGAGAGAGTGCGAACTGATCGCAGCCTGTGAGCAAGAAGCGGCGAGCGAGGCATGAGGGTGGAAAAGGGGGCACAGCACGTGAAAGTTTTTAAACCTGCGCTGGGAGTAGGTGCTGACCGGAGAGCAGCTTCCTCCAGCATCTGGAATTAAAGCAGACGGAGGCCGTGGACTGACTGGCTAAAGAGGAGCATTTTGTTCAACTCCTCCGTGGAAAGTGGGCCAGCCTAAAAATATCGAAGACTCCGGTGAAGAGATTTATCATATGGAGAGCACGGACTGATGTGGATGGGGCGACGTGGGGGGGAAGGGGGTAGAGGAGGGGGGGGGAGATGAAGCAACTCGGGACGGTACTGAAGAGCTGAAACGCCGGAGGAGCTCGGCAAATGTTACCGTGGAAAAGCAGAAGAAAGGTAGCACCTTTCCTGGACCGTAATGCTGCTCCTTGCAAATTTCTAGCCGTTGTGTCATAATGACTAGCAACGAGTGTCCGCTGTCGCCAATTAATTCAATTCTGTCCATCCAGAAAAGACTAAAAAAAACAAAAAACAAACGCGCACATCGTACCTACAAGGGAGTGTTCAGACATTTCTGTTTAGAAAGCCAACCACCAGTTGAACTGTAGACGTCTGGAGAGCCTTTATTGTTACCATATGCACCGCGTTGGAGGATAATGCTCATCTCGCAGGGAAGAGCCACGTCATTTGAATCTAATTCCATCATCCGAGTCGAATTGAACAGATAACGCGAATCACCGTTTCTTGATTGAAGTGGACGCAGCGGATGACAGCCGAGACCTGTAAACATCTGGAGCGCCGCTCCTGGAGGGATTTATTCTAACCTTGGACTTTTCTACCGTTGGACCTGCTTCTTTTGGAACTTTTCGAGCTGCGGATCTTGAGCTGGTGCTTTTGGTTTTTTGTGCTGGGCGGTGGGACGACGCGCTTTGTGACCCGGCCTTGAGCACCATACCCTCCCCCCACTTGCGTCCTTGCCTGTGGGACCCAGTGACCATGCTGGCCGAGCGTCCGACGCCAAAAGGATCAGAGCCCCGACCCACGCTCAGGCCCGCCGTGCTCCCGGCAGCAACATGTCCCAGCCAGTGGTGGCCCGTCTCCACGACAACAGCTCCGGCGCAGGCGAGGCGCCCGAGCTCCAGCTGAGGTGGGCCGCCCTGCTCATCGTCATGGTCATCATCCCCACCATCGGAGGCAACATCCTGGTCATTCTGGCCGTGTCGCTTGAGAGAAAGCTGCAAAACGCCACCAACTACTTCCTGATGTCGCTGGCTGTGGCCGATCTGCTGGTGGGACTCCTAGTTATGCCAATAGCGCTGGTCACCGTCCTCTACAGTAAGTTTGGCACCGGGCTTGGCATTTAACTCCACGTCGACACGTTTAAAAAACAAAAAACAAAGAAGAAATAAAGGCTTAAAACTACAAGAGTTTTACCTCTTTGCTTTTCTGCCCAAACAAAGTTTGGTTGGGGCAAATCTTACAAATCAATTAGGAAAAGGAAATCTACGGCACGAATCCAAAGAAAGCCTTCTGATTGATTAGTAAATTGTTTAAAAACTAAATGGGAAATGAAAAAGAATGGGGGATATGACCAGAGACGGCAGATAAACATGTCACCAGGCCTGGCATTGCTGTGGTAGCAGCTGTGCGATTCAGACTGAGCGACTGTCTAAGAGACTAATAGCCGTGGAGAAATATGCAAACAGAGCCTTTTTATTTCAATAGGAGTAACTGTACTGACTAAATACAGCTGCACAGGAAATTATTAACAATTCCATTCTCACTGGTTTTAATACAACTACGAGATCCAGTGTGATGGCGAAGCTCTTCATTAATCCAGTTAGAAGCTAATGAACCAGATCGAATTGCTTCTCTCATAATGACAGTGGATGATGGTGTGACTGACGTCATGGGGGCAATAATGAGAGTTTATAAAAAAAAAAAAAGAAAACAATGAGAAAAAGCTCTGATGGTTCAGAGAACATACTTATCTCTGATTTTTGTAAGAGAGAAAGATTCAAAGTGAATTTCTTTTATATCTGTTAGTCACACTGGGATTGGGGTGGATTTAAATGTGTTGATAGCTGTTGAAGTTACACCTTGTTACAATTTGTACAACAAGTGAATAAACCAACAATCCATTCTAATTATTTCTAAACAGTTGTTGTAGACCAAAAACTAATAGGATTTAGGAATAGAGTATTAAATACATTTTGATGAATAAACAGTTCAATGAGGGAATTTTCAAGCTACTCTATGTAATTTATAAAATGGATACGCAACAGTGAATTAAGATTTAACATATCAAACAGCTCTCGTTTTCTATTGTAATCACTTTTTAGCACGAAAACTTGCACGTTTGGATTTTTCCTATAAGGATCCCTGTGTGACACGGGAAAAAGAGAAACTCTCAAACAGCCTTTTGCTCTGTTAAACCCAGACAGCTGTCATTATCCACCAATTAGGAGAGATTGAGCGCAGAGCACTGCGATGTGAAGGAGGTGGCCAGGGAGACATAAACATACACATTGGATGTCTACATAAAGCTGGTGTGAAGCACAGCAGAGCTGACTAACGACAATGCAGGCGGGCAGGGGGCCAGCGGAGCCTCACACTCGCTGGTAGAGGAAAGGTTACACTGACATTACCACCACGGGCAGGTCAAAGGCACTTCCAGGTAGTACAGTACACACCGTCCTAAATTCCTAACCCAGTCAGGCCCAACTGAGCATGGCTATTCTAAAAATGATCCCGGTTTGGAAAACGTGCAGACAGGGAACACTTAGATGATGCTACGCTCCGCCAGCCAAGTGGCTGAATACAGACGGACAGATAAGACTGATGCTTGTGCGTTAATAGTGTAAATAGAGTCTGGTAATGTCGCGGAGCAGAGTCTCTTTGTGCATCAGCGGACACAAACGGCCTTGTGTAACCAGAAACTGCTGGACACGCACTGCCCTTGTGGCTATTTATACGAGGTGGGATTTGGTGAGACAAAGATATCGTCTTGAGTAAGTGATAGAAGCAGCACAAAAAAACTAAACAAAAATAAGCAGCTCCATTCCCTTTAAAAGAATAATGGATACGATCAAAATTAGGGCGACGGGAAACTGATTCAGAAGATGTACGACACCGTATGTAGTTAGAGCTCCTTTAAAGTTCCTTGTTTAAATGCAAAATGATGAAAATACGGCTTCCACTTAGCGGTACCTCAGTCTACAATGTGGACTGAATCTGAATGATCAATAAATAAAAATCGACTTGAAGAGTGTGGTATTAGTCGATGAATAAACCAAACCTAATGAAACCCGTGACTCAGAAATCCCCGTAGTGAGACCAGTGGTGCATGTAAGAGATCAACACAGACCGTATTAAAAGAAAATTAGGAGGGATATTTCCACCACTGCTTCTTGCCAGTTTTTATGCCTGGAACTCAAAATAAACACAAGTGCTGAGCGCAGCCTCGGCCGCCATATGCATTGAAAAAAAAAAAACCTTTAGCTCCGTAAACAGTCGCTGAATCCTTCCCTTTCCAGTAAAGACATCTCTCACAGAAATAAACAAACCCCGTCCTCCGCATGAGTGGGCAGTACTGATATGATGTGGGATGTATCCCGTAACCGAGCGCGTTAAATTAGCCGACGACTGCAGGGTCGCGGCAGCAGATAACGAATGAGCATGTCAAAACTGGATTGCTTTCATTCGTTTTCCCTCTCTGATCCTCTCTTTAGACTCTGGATGGCCTCTCCCCGAGTTCCTCTGCCCCATTTGGCTTTTCCTCGATGTGCTTTTCTCCACCGCGTCCATCATGCATCTGTGCGCCATCTCCCTGGATCGCTACGTCGCCATAAAGAGGCCCATTCAACACAGCCAGTACAAGTCGAGAGCCAAAGCAATGGTGAAGATCGCACTGGTGTGGCTCATATCCATTTGTAAGCGCACCGACTCTCCTTCTTCTTACCCGTTTGAAATGCATGACATAAAAAGCATGTGGGGAGAGGTGTGGTGTGGGTGGGGGGCCGGTTGCTTGTCAGAGTCAACAGTTTCTGGTGCTTCCCCCAGGTATTGCCATCCCGATTCCCATCAAGGGCCTGAGGAACCATCCCCTACCAAACGACGTCACCTTCAACAGCAACCACACCTGTCTGCTGAAGCCCGACACCTTCCGGGAGTTCATCATCTTCGGCTCCCTGACGGCATTCTTCATCCCGCTGACCATCATGATGGTGATCTACATGCTCACCGTGCAGGTGCTGCGCAAAAAGGTCTACCTGCTCCGGTCAAAGGTCACTCAGCGCTTCAGCCCCCCGACGATCTCCGCCGTGTGCCAGAGGGAGCAGGCGGCGGTGGCCGAAGAGGCCGCCATGCTGGAGAGCAGGATTCCTAGGATGCAGGAGAAGCCCTGCGTGGCGGCGGCGGTCCTTAGCGCCCTGCCCGGGGACGAGGTCTCCTTCCGCAGAATGTCCACGATGGGGAAGAAGTCCATGCAGACTCTGAGCAACGAGCAGCGGGCGTCCAAGGTGCTGGGCATAGTCTTCCTGCTGTTTGTAGTCATGTGGTGCCCCTTCTTTCTGACCAACATCACCTCGGCGCTGTGCAAGACCTGCGACGCCAACGTCGTCTCCCGCCTGATGGAGATCTTCGTGTGGGTGGGCTACGTCTCGTCGGGCATCAACCCGCTGGTCTACACCCTTTTCAACAAAACCTTCCGGGAGGCCTTTACGCGCTACATCACCTGCAACTACAAAAGCGTCTCCGGCCACCGGCCGGCGCGACATCCCAGGGCCGCGAACACGGACTGGACCCTGACGGGGATTTCCTTCAGAGCTTCCGTGGCGGAGAACTCAAAGCTGTTTGTGAAGCGGGGCATGGCCAACGGCATGGGGGCGGTGGGCTACCAGAGCCCAGGCAGACGCCGGCAAGCGCTGCCCCAGGCGCCCGGCGGCGCCGTCGTGCTGGACACCGTGCTTCTGACTGAAAACGAAGACTTTAAGCAGGTGGAACATGTGAGCTGTGTGTAGAGATATTTAAGGACTAATAAATAAATGGAACATGTGGATCAACTTTTAAGAGCGATTGGTTCTTTAAAGACAAAGGCTTGTCCTTGAATAAAAATAAATCAATTACACAATTATTGAGGACTTGGCTTGGCTGTTAAGTGATTTCAATAAAGACCTGAATTTAACAGTAAAGTTTAATCCTATGGGAATTATTAACATGTGTCTGCTGAGTATGACAGCGGACAAGGACAATTAGAGTTTGACATCTGCAAGATGACCAACATCAGGAAATTAAAAATATGAGCCAAACTGAATGTCCTTGATTGACTGTTGTATATTCCATATTTCCCTGCTCATCCTTTCAACTTGGACAATCTAAATATGGTATATAATATATCAGACTACATGCTTATGTTTTATAAGGACAATACAACTCCTATTTCTCGCTTCTTCTGCAAAGAATTAAAAAAAAAAAAAAAAAACTAATTGCACTCCTGAAATGATACTCTTTTCATTTGCTGATCTTTGGGAAGCTTGATGAACATGTTAAAGAACAACTCTTTATACATATCCACGGAGAAAAAGCAGATTAAATGGAAACTTTTTTGTGCTTAATAAAATATTTTCTGTACCGCAGACCATAGACAACTGCAGCCGTTTTAATCATCGTTCTCCTTTGTCTGTCTTTTCCTTTCCTTTAAAGAAATGTGGCCAAAGCACGAGCTAATGATTGATCTATCGCTGTTATTTAAAAACTAATTAATGATTTTATTCAATTAAAAAACAAAAAGAAAAAACACAAAAGAAAACTAACTGAAATAAGAAATGTGCATATATTCAGAAACTGTTTCTTTCTGGTTGTTTATATTCTCTGTGTTTGTTCGTATTTAGAAATGGACATAGAAAATCCTAACTTAAGTAACTAAATATAATTGTCTGAGAGAGAGAGAAAGAAAGAAAGATATGGATAGAGCACAAGTTTTGCATGGAAAGTTGGAATGTATACCGGTTTTATTTGCTCTTGGACCAGCTGTCTCCTTAAATGGGAGCTCTGCCGATTTATAATGAAAAGCAGAGAGGAGATACTTGAGCTTGGGACTTTTTCTTATGGATCTTTGTCTACATGCAGAAGACGCTGAGGGAGGTATCCTTAACCATGTGGGTCAGAAAAAAAGCACAGTGAACTACACTGCTTCCCAAGTCTTTCTAAATATAGGGTTTAACAAGCTGCCAATAGATCAAACAGCCTTTTTAGGGCTTAAACGTGCACTGCCCAATATTTTTCGGCTTGCTAGGTGGTCCATTAAAGCATGTTTGGCCCTCCCACGGATAAATCCACAAAATGGAAATCAGGAAAGTGTGATGGTGATAGTTGAGTGAGAATGACACTGAACCCGACTCCATTCATTAATGAGCTAAATCTTTTTTCTTTTTAAAGCTGACATGACAGTTGTTCAGTATCCAAATGTGAACATTTGTGTGCTTTTACAAAAACTCATAGGAACAATAATCATTTGTTTTCTGGAACAGAATGAGCATCCTACACAAACACAGCAGTGCTTCGGACTATGTCAGCATAGTTGGGATTTTAGCTCAAATTCTGATGCTCTGAAAAGCCTTTTTTCTAAATGTCAAAACAGGCTCTTAACAGGTCAAGGAAATTAGTTTGGGTCCTACCTGAACAGGATGAAGCCAATGGACTCCACAGCAGCCCTTCTGACATCATCGTTGACGTCACTCACCTTCATTGAGAAAAGCAATGTAAGCAAAACTGAGCACCACAGTTCCCTGAGGGTTCAGTGCACTGGGTATTAAATCCAGCTGGGAGATGGCACCACCTACAGGATAACAGCTGACTTGATCCACACTTGAGCCATACTCAAGTAAGCAGCATTAACCTCCCAAACTTCTTTTGCCTCTGTGCACCATATTTATTTTCACCTTTGAGTTATTGCCCTCATAGAAAACGCTATCAGACACTAATGTAAAATGTTTTCATACGTTTGCAACCAATCATGTCATTCTTGTCATTAAAATTTGACAATATTTGGACATTCAGAGCCAAAGTGCAAAGAAAATCTTCAATTTTTAAACACATATTCAATACAAAGATGAACACACGGTCCATGTATGAGGACCTGTGTCTACCTGTTCCATGACAGTCTAGTTGTAATACTTATTTGGTTCTACTAATCCCATATATCTTGGAGAAGCAAAATTTCACATCAAATAAAAGCTCGGGTGTCAGGAGGTTCATAAAGGGGTGAGATATAGTTCTGAATAAGCCCATCATCGTGGAATTCGCTTTTCTACCCGATTGATTAACCCGCTTTTGTAGCAGACAAAGTCCAAAAGCTGACACTCACAGCGACATGTAGCAGGCGTCGGATGGCCTTGTTGTTCCCAGAGCCGCAGTAGGCCATTCCTACGGTGTACATACCAGACCGGCGCAGGATGGGGTCCTAACCAAGACAGTGAGAGAAAGCAGAACTCTGAGGCGGTGTGTCTGGGTGCATCGCTAAAATCAACAAGGGCTGAGCCATTTTCCAAATCTAGCCCTTGCATAGGGAATCCTGGCACACAGTAAAGAGGAAGAGGCTCACCCACGACATGTAATAAACATAATCTGCTATTTAAAGAATGCACGGAGAACTCAAACGCCTGCACACTGCAGCAGCAGACTTAATGTGGAGCGATCTCCTTTTAAAATACTCAAAGTCTTGTCAGACTCTTGCCATTTTCTTTTTTCTGGGAATGAGTTGAGCTTGTTTAGTTTAAGACAGAGTGTGTAGAAAAACAAAAGCATGAAGAAAACCAATTACAGAAAAGCTCACACCTTATCTCTGCAGAGACTTTCAATGAGAGCGTCGGCCTCCTCCATGCGGCCATACATGACCATGGCGATTCCCACAGCCAGGCCACGCAAGATCTTCTCGTGTTGCGTCTCCTGGGCATAGCCCACCATGTCCTCGATTGCCTGAGCCGACTTGGAACCCAGCATGACCAGACCCAGAGCCAGGCCTGCAGCTTCCCCTGAGAATTCACATGAGATCATCAGCATACCTGGCTTTGCGTATCAGGAAGTTCAATCATAAATGAAGAGAGGAAAAAAAAGGGAAAAAAAGACAGTCATTCTGATGAATGATTCAGGGACCTACCAGTGACAGCATCATCCTGGTAAAGGTTTGACTTGAGCAGGTCGTAAACATCCTGTCTGGCTGTGCCAAGTGCAGCCAAACCCAGACCAAGGGCTCCGCCATGACGGACGATCTGAGAAAAAAAACCCAACAACAATAAATTAACCACCTCCATGACCAAAACGAGCTACCGTTCTCAACGTTAACAGCAGAAAAACCAGAACACGTCAGACTAGTCACTCACATCGTTGCTGGCATTCTTCAGCTGACTGAGCAGGTAGTCGATAATGTCCCCACCGTGGTTGGCATGAATGAGGCCCAGAGCGTACAGGCCTCCTCCTTCCTGGTAGGCGGAGCCAGGGGAGGTGTCTTTGGGCAGGTAAGTGGCCATTAGCTGGAGCGCTTCTTTCTCATGACCCTGAAAACACCATCATGTTGGAAATTTCATACAACCTCGGATAAAAAGCTTGCGTCTTATCAAAAAACGGGGGGAAATCCTTCTACCTTATGGATGACGCCAAGGCTTGCTGTGGCTGTGAACTTTGCCCAGTTTGTGGCCCTCGCTAGCCATTCTAGGTTTTCTCTGAAAGGAGCAGAAAAACAGAACAACCTCTGGTCAAAACGCATGGAGAATCAAACATTTCCCCATTCCTGAGCAGTTTGGGTAGAGCTCTTGTTTACCTGAGGAACTGGTCACTTGTGGTTCCCGTGTGCATGAAAGAGTTGGCGATTACTGTGGCTGTGTGACACACCGAGTTTCTGACTGCGTCCTGCAGCAGAAGGACAGCGAAAAGAGGACAAACAAAATTTCATCAAGGTTTAAATTCACATTGATTTCATGGTCATTTCTGTTAGCAAGGAGACTTCTCTGGAGCCAAAAGCGCACCTTTGTGTTTTTTAGAATCATTAGATCTGTGTTGTTATTTCGAATGAGGAACTGCAGATGCAGCTCGATGGCCATCTCCCCGCTAAGGATCTTAATCATCTTGGCGTTCTGGTCTTTAGGCTCGTCTTTCTGCAGAAAGCGAGGAGAAATAACATGATCATGACGACACAAAAAGTGACGGGGTATTCTGAAGGCCGCATTTCAAAGTGTAAAACTCATACCGTGTCGGCCGGTTTTCCAGCAGGAGAGCTTCCTGCTTTTTCGTCCGTCTCCATTGTGTCACTGTCGACAAAAAGAAAATCCCCTCTGTTAATTCTGCATTGGTAAATCTCAAGCGTGTGAATTTCATTTAAGGGCTTCTCTTCCCACCTGTCTTTGTCCGAGGTTGGGACGGTGCCTGTGTTGGTTGAGCCTGGCACCGCTGGGATGGGCGTTCCAACGGTGTGCAGGTTCTGAATGACCGAGGAGAGGAACTGCTGGCTAGCGCTCTCATAGAGGTCAAAGCAGATCTGGTAGGCCATCAGGAGGTTGTCTTCCTTCACCAGCTTCTCCAGAATGTCACTCACGGCCTGCGGGTCGTCCAGGAATATGAGGCACTAGAGTGGAGAGAAGAGAAACCGGGAGGGGGACGTTACCATACAAAGACATCACGAGAAAACATGTTTCAAAAACATCAGTCAGTTTCCAAAGATGTTTTCATTTCTCCATCTGAAGGAACTCATTATTAACAACCAATTTTCATTCATCAGAAACTTTAAAAGTTGCCAGATTTTCTAACTTTTAACAGGTCTGATGTGAAAATGCTATTTTTCCTGGCTATCAGAAAACTTCCCTACAAATGTGTTGTAAAGTTCGGGCTTGCGAGGAATAACAATGTTTTTTAAAATCTAACAGGCCACACAATCGCATGGTTTTGACCACAACTGAAAGGATTATTTAAAAAATTTGTTATTTTTTACACTTAAAACACACGATCCCAAAGTATATTCCTTGATGGATACAAAAAAAAAAAAAGCTTTTTACCTGACAGACATTGATGAAATCAGGCTTCTCCAAGTTCATGTAGAGTTTGACAAGCACGCGGAGCACTTCATTACGAAACTTCTTGTTCTGCATCAGGGACATGCAGACCTTCAAACTGTAGGCTAGGAGCCCGCTCACGTCAGTCTATATGGGGGAAAGGGGATGGAGAAGAATAATGATCAACATGTTCATTCTTGAAAGACAAAGAGCAACTCTGCTAAACATTGTTGTTAAAACCCATGTTTGGCATGTGAATGAATGATAAGAGATGCTGACTGATTCTAAGATGGTTTTCTCAAAGATGTCCAGACGCCTGGTCTCCAGGGCGATGCCAATGGCCTGTTTGTACTTGTGATCATCAAGGCAACGTAGGAACATCTTATTGACAATGCCCTCCAGGCGGGGGTCGATGCTTTTCTTTTCCTCATCCTCTGGCAGCTCAGCATTTTCCACTCTCAGCTTTGTGTAGTGGTCGATGCACTTGGCTGTAGAAAAAAAGAAAAGTCAACCTATGAGTCAACCTAAACATAAAATTGTCAACTGGAGGTAACACGCTTCACGTATGACATTGCGTTATTGTCCCAACACTGCTAAAGAAGACATGGCATCACTCACCAATGATGGTCTCAACATACTCCGAGTCATCTGTGACACTAAAGAGATCTCCGGCACCAAGAGCATAATTAAGAGACTCCTCAAAGGCTCCAAGGTGGTAAAACACCTTTGAGGCCACCAGGGCAGCAAATGATCTGCTCCGAAAAGTCTCATCCTCGTACAGGACCTCGCTGAGAAAGACAAAAGAGACATATGACTGACTAGAAGCTTTTGTGGGGGTGGGGGGGGCACACATTTGAACATTAAACAATAACAAAAAACAATTAGTTGTCTTTTTTTTTCCTGCTCGTTATCAATGGAGTCAGGTTCAAAGTAATTTTGACTGTCATTTTCACTCAACTATTACCATCACACACATTTTCCTGATTTACATTTTTCAAATGTATCCATCAAAAGCCCAAACATGCTTTAATGGACCACCTCATATGTATCAGAAACAAACAAAGGAGGATTACCTCGTCTTAATGCTGCTTTATAGTACATTTCTATGCGAGTTGTGGTTTCCAAGATCTGCAGCTATACTTACATTTTATCTACAGATCCTGAAATCTCGGCCCAGAAGTCATTCACAATGGTGTCGAGTTTATGCAGAGCAAATTCCTGCAGGTGAAACAAAAGTCATGCAAACATATTGAATTGGCCAAATTTTAAACAGTTTTTGGGGCAGTTCAGGCCACAATGCACGATTCTAATTAGGTGATCATCTACTCTCAAGGCTAATATTGAAGTTGTAATAAGTAAAACGTTTCAACTTATGTGTCACTATACATGTCTCAGGATTAATCTAGAAAAGAGTGAAAAGGTGACCAAAAGAATAAAATTTGGTATTCTATTGGAGTAAACTAACTCTTGATTTCTTGCACTAGAAAGTTCTGAAAGTAATATTTTAGACCACAACTTAAATGGATACTGCATCAACAAAATTGATTGAATGGTGAAAAAGAAAACATCCAGGGCTTAAGTCTTAGACATTTATTCTGTGTTATTAGAGTTTACCTTGAGCTGTGGCTCCTCTTCATCAAGGAGGGAAATTATTCCAGCTATTAAGAAAAACGCATGTATAAATCATCAAACAAACTATGAAAGATACAACTCTCAGTTCGGAAATTACACTTCACTCCTTAGTTTACACAGACCTACACGAGTCAGGTGCAACAAACTAAATGTAAAGAAAACATAAACTACATTACTTGGCAACACATCCATGTCAAATACATTATTATGGTTAGTATCCTGAACAGAGCATCGATTAATACTAGCTAAAACAGGACACTTATGCTAAAACTACTTAACATATTTTAAACTATGCTATTTAAGAAGTAATTAAATACACATACTTCTCTACAGTCTTCTTTACAAAAAATAAATCTAGTCAGTTGGTGTTTTATTAGAAGCCAATGGAAGACAGACTGTCTAACTGTATGCTACCTCTATGTGACTCAGCTAAATAAATGGCAGCTAGCTAAAGTTGCGGCTATCAAAATAAAGACATCTACAACAGCTCACCGGCAGACGTTATCATGCTTGGTTCTTTAATCCCTCCGCAGTCCCACGATCTTGATTCGACGGTGGAATTCCGTACGATTAAAGTGAAAAACAAACAGTCTGTAGTATTTGTGTCGAGTGCTCACTGGTCGCATTCAACGCAGCCCGTTGCTAATTTCTTTTTGTTCAATGCCGCAAGTCCCTTCTCAGAAGACCTGCGACTTGGCTAGTCTCTATGGCGCCTGATTAAAAAGGGATATTTTAAAAAGATAATAATATCAGTCATATTGTTATGAGTCATGTTATATTCGCCTAATGTATTTAGATAACTATGTATAACACTTCAGACTTTGAAAATATGAAATAAAATGGAAGACTGTATTTCAACATTTGCAATTTATGAACGGGCATCTCTTAAGGCACCCTATAATGAAACATTTCTTTTTCATTAAATCTGTCCCAATTTCCAGAGATCCTTGTGTTCCATGAGTTCCTGTTTAACTTGTTTGTTATTACTCTTTGTTAATCTCTTGCTTTATTCTAAAAAATGTGATGAATCTGACACGAATTTTAAGATATTTAATAATCTAAATATATATTTTTAAAGGCACATTTCTTTTAAGTGTAGAAAGGAGGAGGGACATTTGATTATAATTAAGATTGAGGGATTTACCCCCTTTAACCAGTGTTTTTATTTTAATTATTCTCATTATAATTAATTATAATGTGGTCTTGTATTTCTATTAATTCATTTGTGTTTTAATAAAACAGCAGAGCCACTCAAGCTGAAATTGTTTTATTGATATAAATGGATGGATGAGTAACTTAGTAACATAAACATTGCATCCTGTGTTAACTTCTGTTGCTTTAAATTATCTTTAAGGATCATTCAAAAGTAACCCTGTCTGAGCATCTACAATCCCCCAGTTAAGTAAGTATATGTTAAGCCACTATCTCTTTAAAATCTTGATCCATATCTTACTAATGTATTATGAAACCTTGAAACCATCTTTTCACCAAGGAAATGAAAACAAGCGTCTCTCCTCAGTGATGACAATTAAGACCAAAAAGTTTATGCTACTAATGCTAATGTCAACAGTCGTTACCTAAGGCACAAATTCTAATAAATCAGAGAAAAGTACACATGAAGATATAAAAGCTTTTTAAAACAATAAAGCAAATAAAACCTTTACAAGTTGTTTCCCAGTTTTCTGTGCAGCAGGTTGAGCTTCTTCATACCAGAGACATTGACCTCAGATATTTCAACAAAGCAAAATAAATCTGCCATCTGGTATGAAAACAACATTGCTTGGCTACTGAAATTATACTTTTACAATTAGGTACAGGTTATAAGTTCAGTTTGCTTTAAAAAATATTTAAAATTCTAGCATATATTTAGCCTTAGTGGTTTTAAACTCCCTGATAATTGACAGTAGCATGCACCAGCTGATGCAGAGGGAACTTTGGGGTTGTTCAGTTGCCCTTTTCTCCACATATGATCTTGATAATGCACTAAACATACACCTTAAACAACCAAATGTTACAATAGGGCTGTGTTATCATCTAATAAGCCATTATGCAAGTCTCTTTCTTCAAAAAATGGTCCAAATAAAGCATAAACTCTGGTGTTCGACGGATGCCAATAAAGACGCCAAAAGATACACAGGTCAACATGTCAAGTGACCTTTCAAGATCGAACACAAGCTGGCACGGGGGTGGGATTTCTAGCACCAAGAAGCCACATAAGTGTGCAGTAAGGCTTGGTAATGCCAGGAGGCTAACTTTTCCAGTCACAGTGAAAACAGAACAATCCACAGTGAGAAGCTAGCAGCCAGAGGTTTTGCTCCAACAGTGATCAGTAGTGTTCTTCGACTGGTCATCCATTCACATGAGGTTCAGCTGACGAGACGCCCGTGTTCAAAGGGATGCCTTCCTCTACGCTTTCAGCAGCACCTGAAACATTTTAAACATTACTTTAGAGTCAGTGAAATTCGTGGAATTTAGAGAGTTAGACAATTTGAAAGAAACACATTTGTTTACATTTAAAAAACAATGAATGACTTTTTACTCTTTTACCCTTACTCTTTTTTACCTTTTAGGCCCCCTTAAAAGGAGTTTCATTTTCCTAAGTTTCCCTTTAGTGATCTCTTAAACCTTTCAATTTGGCTTGACTGACAACCAAAATATTAAAAAATTACAAAATCGAAGAGAAACCGACTTTTTTGTGATTGAAAATATAAAGCCCATCCCTCCATGAACAAAAGCCATTGAGGAGTGACTATACTTGTTTTTATAAACTTCTTCTCATGCAACACAAACCCAATACAATCCTGAATAATATTAGCTTTAGCCAATGAGTAAAAAAGAGGGAAATTGTAAAGAATAGATCAAAGGAATTATCCTATGGGAGGGGAAATGTCCGCATTCACCCCTGGCAGGCTGAACTTTAGGGGGTTGCTACCTTTTTGCCTGCTGTTTGAAGATTTGTTGTTGTTTTGGCCTCTGGCTGTTCTCCTCTGAGGCCTGAACCAACATTGGAATGGCCAGAAAGGTGGATCCCCTCTGTCCCCGGTGGTGTCTGAAAGGCAATAATAAGCATTTCACTCTCTGGCAGCTTATCTGAGTGCACGGAGGTTTCATGAAAGCTCTCTTTGTTTAAGAGACTTTGCAGTCCTGTCTGGTTAGAAAGAAATGAGAGCCAAAAAAAAAAAAAAAAAAAGAGGGTGGTCTTGTGAGTGTCCCAGATTGGCCTGCAGGACAGTGTTCTGCAAATCATTACTGCATATTCATGCATGGACGTTCACTGTGCTCATTAGGGAGTTTTCAATGACCTCACCATGCCTGGAGATATTAACGATTAACTCAGGCTAATACTTGATAATCCCATGACAGCTTAATCTCCCAAGATTTTAACTTCTTGCTGACGAACAGGTGCAGCAGGGACACAAAATGAATTTGTGTAAGATAGTTCTCGCGTAATGGATTACAGTGTTATTACAGTGTTATTACACCTGCAGTTTGAGAGGCGAGGAAAACTCTGCAGGCGTTCTTCTTGATGCTGAGCATCGTCGCCTCCGTCTTGGGGACGAAGCATCCCACCCAGATGGTGTCCGGTGCGTGTTTGCGGAACACGGAGCGCATCAGGCTCTCCAGGACTCGCTCGCACCGGCGCGTCTCCGCGCCCTCCTCCTCCTCAGACGCGCGCACCAGGCCGACCAGAGCCGGCCGGGAGGTCGCGCTGCGCCCGGTGCGCGCCCGGACGTCCCTCAGGATCTCCTTCAGGCACACGCCGTTGGCGATCTGGCCCACGAACCTCTGCCTGAAGACGAACACGACCACGGAGGAGTCTATGGCGCGCTTGGAGCTGTGGATGTTGAACCTCTGCTTGACCGTTCTCCGCGCTCCGCGCGCCGACCGCTCCTCGGTCCGTTCGTCCGCGGTCAACGGGTCCGCGGTCAACGGTCGCTCGTTGCTGTTTTCGGTCTTTTCGGCCGCGTCGCCACCGGGGGACGGCCGGGGCTGCCCCGTGGCCGTCGCCGGTCTGCTGTTGTGAAACATGTCACGTATGAACTCCTGCAATATCCCAACGTCATCTCCGTCCACCTCCACGCTTTTGCAAGCATCACTGACCAGATGAATCCTCTCCCGGCCGCCGATCTGCGCGAGGAGCTTTTGAAAGTCCCGCTCCTCCTCGGCCAGAGTGTCCGAGTTCGCCATTTTTTTCTGCTTTAATTACCGAAAGATATTAAAGCTTTCAAAACCGTTTTCAGTCCGCCTGTGAAGAGGAGCTTCCTCACGGTCGCGGGGAACACCAATGGGGAGAGCGGGAGTGAAGGCCACGTGTTTCTATTGGTCTATCTGTCCTGTGGGCGGAGCTACCGGCCAATAACGGATTGTAGCACAGGCTTGTTCTAAGGTGATTAAGTCAATCTTTATTAGATATTAGAGTTATTAGCTAATGACAAAGTCTTTACTCATGAGTATATTGGCTTTAATTCTTTAAAAATATTCTAAGATTGGTAATACAGACTGAAAGAATATGGGGTATTTGTTTGTTTACACAAACTTCTTGGAAATCATTCAAGATTGTAAAATGGCAGGTGGATGATGAAATCCCACTTTCAAAGGGAGAAAAATATCGCAAAGAAAGAAGCCATGAGGTCCATTAGGACAAATCCGAGGGCCGTTTTCTTGCCACAGTGCTCTCTGCTGCGTTTGATTCACTCCCCTGTCAGATCAGAAAGTCGCTCAGCCCGAAAGGCTAATCATCAAAAGTCTGGTGAGTCCTCCAGACTTAAATCCTTTAATCCACTCATGCCAGATCTGTAATTAAAAGGTGCTGCGAGTCTGAAATACCACATGAATTGAATAGAGAAAAGCTGGAGTTGCTGCGTCTGGGAATGTGTTCCCATCATTTGTTACCGGTGACCAATGCTAAAGTCAGACTTAAACTAATACAGAGCCTCCAGCCAGTGACCTTTAGACTGGCTGAGCATTGATTAGTTGTGTGTGTGTGTGTGTGGGGGGGGGTTGTTTGCCATTTCTTCAAATGCAAATGAAGAATAAATCTTCCGGCTCTTGCTTCATCATGTTGACATAACTCTGGAGAAAAGCGTAGTTTTCCAGAATTACATGTCAAATGTCTAATGCGTGCCAACAATAACTCCAGGGATAGAGTTTTTGGCCGGCCAGTGTATATTCTAAACATTTTATTGCTTTCCTGTGTTAATAATGCATCTGTGGCACAACACATTGACCCTTTTGCTGGGAAGACAGAGTTCCTGAGGATCAATAAGACCAAGAAGACCACCTGAACCACTGACAGAAAAGCAAAGCCTCAAGTAAACTGGAAAGAGGTCAAGTTTAACAGCTAAAAGATGACAACTGACTCTCCATATTGTCTTAATGCATCTGGCCAAAACGATTCTTAATTTGACAGAGCGTACGTGTCCAAACACACTGTTAACACAGTCTGACAGCAGACTTGCTTTCTCCTGCCGTGTTTTTTATTTCTTTCTTTTTTTTGTGTTCAAAGGTTTCATGTGAGGGCTTGAGTGTATGTTAATATTTGGTTTTCAGCCATTTATTTGCAAACCATATACTTTCAGTTTGACCTCGTGTTTCCAGATAATCTCACAGACAAAAGTCCCCTGGTTTAGAGGCGAATGGTCTTCCTTCCACTTTTATAATGTTATACACTCGCTCATTCCATTACACAGGTGGATAAAGCCTTAGATTCCATTTCACTATCTACACATTAAACAGAGCTGAGAGCTGAAATGTTTTCTGTGATGTGACCACTCTATGACATTTTTACATCTGAGAGAAATGAGAAATGGATTCAAATGGTAAAGTTTTTCAGTTCTTAGATAAGTGGGAGTTATAAGTTAGACATTTTCAGTAAAGATCCTTTGTAAGCTATTCAGCTCCTTTTAATGGCAAGAAAACACTGATGGAGCCCAACTTCCTGCCTCTAATTGTTTACTGTGAAATCCATAACCTCTTAGAGATCACAAATCCTGCTGCTATCCTTTGTTTGAGGTTTTTACCTTTCATGACCGATTAACTCAAATTCATAAAAAATATTATGGATAAATGTGTAGAGTGGTCGCAAAAGGCACCAAACGGCGTAGAGGTCGGTCCAGCTCAGCTTATCCCCACTTCACACGGCATGCTTTGATTTCATGGTGCTGGGAGGAGCTCAGTGGGTGTGGTGCCATTTCCCAACCTGTAATTCTCTCTTATGATAACAGTTGTCGATGACAGGAGAGCTGACATGTGGTCAGTGCTCACAGAATCAAACACAGAGTTTCTTCTTTCCCACATGGTGTCCCACACGGTCACATGGGTGTCTTGTGGAATCTGCAGTGCTACCAGCATTGCTGTGGGCACACAAACGAAAAGAAAAGGTATTTACTTTTGAATATTAAACTGGTGAAAAGTTAAATGTAGGTTGCATGAGAGAGTGCAGTGCATCATTATTAACTGTATCTGTTTTCCTTTAAAGGTAAGTAAAGAGGAACACCGATGGCCTGTGTTGGAGGGAGCTTGACCTGATGAACCAGAGGCATCTCCCCTCCATGACCCCGATTCCTCCAAAGAACATGACACACAATGTTTGCTTTTCAGCTTAATAAATAATGCATTTGAGATATGAAACTGCAAACTGGACACGACATAAGGGAAACAGAACTGATGCTCATTTTAAAAGTTCATATGAAATAAAACAAAAACACAAAAAACAACACACTGATGAGAAGAATAGTTTGAAGCAACTTCATTAACCTATTAGGGGCTGAATCTTAAACGGAATGTCCATCGGAAGACACGTTTTTATTCGAGTTAAAACTGAGCTTAGCTTCAAACAGCTGAATGGCAGATATTTGCCTCATAGTTGCTTTTCTTTTGTACTTAGAGTATATAATCCATCCATTATCTGTACCGCTTACTCCCAGTGGGGTTCAAAACACGTAAAACTCTCCAAATGAAGAAGATAGAAGATGTTGTACAATACAGGAGTAGCTCTAAACAGGCCAATAGATCACCCAAAAGTTTCCTTTATTTTACATTGTTTTTACTAGAAACAGATAAAAATGTGAATGAAATTAAAAGCATTGTGCCCTTTTAAAAAAAAATCAGTTAAGCTTTTACTCACTTTATGACCAAGTGTCAGCCGTGACTTCGTGTGTGAACTCTTCAGCACTTTCTAGTAAATATGCTTCTAATGACATGTAGCACGGAAGGATGGCTGATTTATAAAGTGAAATGTTAACTAATGGATGTGCTTCCAAAGAGCAATAAAAAAATCCATTTGTGGAGATTCCTGAGGCAAACTGTGTAGTTTCTCACAGTGAGTGTAAAAGACAAACAAGCACTGGAAAGATGTCTCTTTTAGGAATATCATAACGTCCAACATTTAAACTGTACATAATAGAGCAGTAATAGGTAACACACTTCAGGCAGGTCTTACTGTTCTCACAAAGCCTTTGATGTGGAAAATTATTGTTACCCTGCCATAAAAGTTAAGTCTTGAACCGTTGATCTTTCCCCTAAAATTAGAAGCCATCAATTTTGTCATAGCAAGAGTAATACACTTATCAAACATTATGAATGGTAAACAGTGCTAACAATTAGGCAGCGGCACTGAAGCCACGTTGCTGATAAGAATGTTTCACTATCAAAAAGATTAAGTTAAATTCAGGCCATGAGTCATGGATAAGGGGGGATAAATCACACCGGTATGAAAGAGCACGCTTGTGAACTTTGCAACATAAATAGTGAGTCTCCCACAGACAATGGTGGGGGCTGATTGCAAGTTTGTTTCTAGATAAAGATTAACAACACACCCTTAACAAACCCCTTTACAACATGCATCCAATTGAATAAGATCCTTAAAGGCAGCAAGTATATTATTATCCAGGTGTGATTTGGAGGAAATACTTCAGGTGAGCAATTGAGATAATAACAATCGATTTATCTGATGTTTTCTTGGACACAGCCAAGACTATGCCTGGTTCCGTATCTAACCGGTGTTCATTAATCACATGACAAGTGGCAGCACAATACATCTAAAATTTGGGGTTTAGAGGAAAATGCTGTCTGAATAAATTTGCCCAATGTTGTAGGAACTGCTAATGAGTAAAACCGCAAACAATCTGTGGAACCCATCTGTGAGTTTTTAAAGGCAAAGAAGCACAATATTCAGCAGTAATAAGGGGCTCTGGCTGTGCCCCCCCTAATGACTGAGTCAACCATAGAACTGGAATATGTTGTATTTTACTGACTAAAAGTCAGCGCAAAAGAGCCGGTAGAGCGTCACTGAGGAAGAAAACCAACCTTTGAGTGATGTTAGTGCATTTTAGTTGCATCCCTGTGCAACATAGTTATGCTAAAGACAAGCAAATATTGTGATCTCATGTGATGAATGTGAAGCTCGCCTCTGACAGTTATATAATGTATAAATGCTCAATATAGTGAATGATATTCAAAATCTTTATTTCATAACATTCTGTTAATCAGTCAACTTGGTAGAGTGGATGGGTTCAAAGGTCGAGACGCAGTGTGCTGCAGTGTGTATGCAATTGTAACGTTTCCCCACAAGAGGACCCTGTTGAGCTCTTGAACACTCCCCAGTGCAGCTGCTTTGTAAAGTTGAGTCCACCATGAAATGCTGACCTGTTCTACCTCAGTTGAAATCCTCAATTATCTTTGTATTACATATCTGTAAACTTTTTCATTGCACATAGGAAAAAAACACATCTTTTGGCTCCTGTTTCGTGATGCTACAGTAAATTTAGCCGCCTAATAAGCATTATCGAAACACTATTAGGGTTAATCACCTAGGGTTGAGTGTCTCCTAATAATGTATACATTATTTTACTGTGAGAATAGAGGTTAAAGAGGTTAATAGAGGTTTATACACTAACACACTTGTCTTTCATACATGATATTTTCATTAGTTCTTTAAATTTTAAATGAAAATCAACAGCTTAACTGTTTTTCCTTTGATTACAAACTGCCATTTTCATTAAATGCCAACAACTAGTTTATCAGCTTAATTAGTTTATGAGCATATCAGGTTTACTGAAAGGTTTTCAGATCTGGGGAATAAGCAGTAAATGAGCCGTCTTTTCTTTCATATTTCGAGTAGACCCAGTATTACCCACTAGATGGTAGTATTTCTCCATTTAAAGTACAACTGACCAAATCCTGGACAGGAATAACCAACTCTGACTATATATGTATATAAGACACAAGATACAAGAGAAATATATGGACATACGACAAGTGTGACACAGCATATTAAAACAAGACGGATTCTCTCTCTGGAAGGAATCATGAACATGAGTAAAAGGGACACCGAGTCTGGGCCAGCTCATCCTGTTTGTGGTGTCATTACTACAGTGTGACACACAACTCTAAGGGAACATCCTGGGTGGCTGTGAGGACACCGCAGCACCATCTGT